TTTTTATTAGCATGTAAAAATACAGGCAACATATCTACTTATCGAATGTAAAAAAATCAATATATTCACAAGGTCAATCAAAATATTACAAATGAATTTGTTAACCGTCGGTTTATGCAAAAAATATAGAATTTTTCTCAATATATTTTCCGATGTTTCTCAGTTACGTAGACGTCGAGAATGCCAGTTTACCAATAAGCAGAGTGGCGCAGCAGAAGCATGCTGGGCTCATAACCCAGAGGTCGATGGATTGAAACCATCCTCTGCTAGCAATTGTTTTCATCACTCTTAGCTTGGCTTTAGTTATTGCAGATTTAAAGGTTTAGTTTGTTGTGATTTGGCATAGATATTTTTCAAAAAGTGCTATGGCCTATATCCCGATAAATACCCAAAAAAAAACTCTGCAGGAGATTAGCTCAAGTGGTAGAGTGCTTGAATAGTATGCGAGAGATTGTGAAATCGGTACCCACATTCCCCAAAGCACATATGGGCAACGAGTGATTTTTTTCATTAGCATGTAAAAATACAGGCAACATATCTGCTTTTCGAATGTAAAAAAAAAATCAATATATTCACATTGTCAATCAAAAGATTACAAATGAATTTGTTAACTCTCGATTTATGCAAAAAATATAGAATTTGTCTCAATATATTTTCCGATGCTTCTCAGTTACGTAAACGTCGAGAATGCCAGTTTACCAAAAAGCAGAGTGGCGCAGCGGAAGCGTGCTGGGCCCATAACCCAGAGGTCGATGGATCGAAACCATCCTCTGCTAACAAGTCTTTTTCATCACTCTTAGCTCGGTTTTAGTTATCGCAGATTTAAAGTTTTAGTTTGTTGTGATTTGGCATAGATATTTTACAAAAAGATGCTATGGCCTCTGTCCCTATAAATACCCAAAAGATCGCGACTGGAGGATTAGCTCACGTGGTAGAGCGCTCGCATAGTATGCGAGAGATTAGTGAGATCTGATACCCACATTTTCCCAAAGCACATATAGGCAACGAGTGAATTTTTGTTATTAGCATGTAAAAATAGAGGCAACATATCTACTTATCGAATGTTTAAAACGTAATCAATATATTGTCAAGGTCAATCAAAATATTACAAATGAATTTCTTAACTCTCGATTGATGCAAACAATAAAGAATATTTTTCAATGTATTTTCTGATGCTTCTCAGTTACATAGACGTCGATAATATGCCTTGCCATAAAAGCAGAGTGGCGCAGCGGAAGCGTGCTGGGCCCATAACCCAGAGGTCGATGGATCGAAACCATCCTCTGCTAACAAGTCTTTTTAATCAATCTTAGCTCGGTTTTAGTTATCGCAGATTTATCGGCTAAGTTTGTTGTGGCTTTGCATAGATATTTTGCAAAAAGTGCTATGGCCTATTTCGCGATAAACACCCAAACTAAGCCTCTGTAGGATTAGCTCAAGTGGTAGAGCACGTGTTTTGCATGTGAGAAGTAGTGGAATCGATACCCACATTTTCCAAAGCACATATTGGCAACGAGTGGATTTTTTATTAGCATGTAAAAATAGAGGCAACATATCAACTTATCGAATGTTTATAAAAAATCAATATGTTCACAATGTCAATCAAAAGATTACAAATGAATTTCTTAACTCTCGATTGATGCAAACAATAAAGAATATTTTTCAATGTATTTTCTGATGCTTCTCAGTTACATAGACGTCGATAATATGCCTTTCCATAAAAGCAGAGTGGCGCAGCGGAAGCGTGCTGGGCCCATAACCCAGAGGTCGATGGATCGAAACCATCCTCTGCTAACAAGTCTTTTTAATCAATCTTAGCTCGGTTTTAGTTATCGCAGATTTATCGGCTAAGTTTGTTGTGGCTTTGCATAGATATTTTGCAAAAAGTGCTATGGCCTATTTCGCGATAAACACCCAAACTAAGCCTCTGTAGGATTAGCTCAAGTGGTAGAGCACGTGTTTTGCATGTGAGAAGTAGTGGAATCGATACCCACATTTTCCAAAGCACATATAGGCAACGAGTGGATTTTTTATTAGCATGTAAAAATAGAGGCAACATATCAACTTATCGAATGTTTATAAAAAATCAATATAGTTCACAATGTCAATCAAAAGATTACAAATGAATTTCTTAACTCTCGATTGATGCAAACAATAAAGAATATTTTTCAATGTATTTTCTGATGCTTCTCAGTTACATAGACGTCGATAATATGCCTTTCCATAAAAGCAGAGTGGCGCAGCGGAAGCGTGCTGGGCCCATAACCCAGAGGTCGATGGATCGAAACCATCCTCTGCTAACAAGTCTTTTTAATCAATCTTAGCTCGGTTTAGTTATCGCAGATTTATCGGCTAAGTTTGTTGTGGCTTGCATAGATATTTTGCAAAAAGTGCTATGGCCTATTTCGCGATAAACACCCAAACTAAGCCTCTGTAGGATTAGCTCAAGTGGTAGAGCACGTGTTTTGCATGTGAGAAGTAGTGGAATCGATACCCACATTTTCCAAAGCACATATTGGCAACGAGTGGATTTTTTATTAGCATGTAAAATAGAGGCAACATATCAACTTATCGAATGTTTATAAAAAATCAATATATTCACAATGTCAATCAAAAGATTACAAATGAATTTCTTAACTCTCGATTGATGCAAACAATAAAGAATATTTTTCAATGTATTTTCTGATGCTTCTCAGTTACATAGACGTCGATAATATGCCTTTCCATAAAAGCAGAGTGGCGCAGCGGAAGCGTGCTGGGCCCATAACCCAGAGGTCGATGGATCGAAACCATCCTCTGCTAACAAGTCTTTTTAATCAATCTTAGCTCGGTTTTAGTTATCGCAGATTTATCGGCTAAGTTTGTTGTGGCTTTGCATAGATATTTTGCAAAAAGTGCTATGGCCTATTTCGCGATAAACACCCAAACTAAGCCTCTGTAGGATTAGCTCAAGTGGTAGAGCACGTGTTTTGCATGTGAGAAGTAGTGGAATCGATACCCACATTTTCCAAAGCACATATAGGCAACGAGTGGATTTTTTATTAGCATGTAAATACAGAGGCAACATATCAACTTATCGAATGTTTATAAAAAATCAATATGTTCACAATGTCAATCAAAAGATTACAAATGAATTTCTTAACTCTCGATTGATGCAAACAATAAAGAATATTTTTCAATGTATTTTCTGATGCTTCTCAGTTACATAGACGTCGATAATATGCCTTTCCATAAAAGCAGAGTGGCGCAGCGGAAGCGTGCTGGGCCCATAACCCAGAGGTCGATGGATCGAAACCATCCTCTGCTAACAAGTCTTTTTAATCAATCTTAGCTCGGTTTAAGTTATCGCAGATTTATCGGCTAAGTTTGCTCTGGCTTTGCATAGATATTTTGCAAAAATTGCTATGGCCTATTTCGCGAAAAACACCCAAAATAAGCCTCTGTATGGATTAGCTCAAGTGGTAAGAGCACGTGTTTGCATGTGAGAAGTAGTGGAATCGATACCCACATTTTCCTAAAGCACATATAGGCAACGAGTGGATTTTTTATTAGCATGTAAAAATAGAGGCAACATATCAACTTATCGAATGTTTATAAAAAATCAATATAGTTCACAATGTCAATCAAAAGATTACAAATGAATTTCTTAACTCTCGATTGATGCAAACAATAAAGAATATTTTTCAATGTATTTTCTGATGCTTCTCAGTTACATAGACGTCGATAATATGCCTTTCCATAAAAGCAGAGTGGCGCAGCGGAAGCGTGCTGGGCCCATAACCCAGAGGTCGATGCATCGAAACCATCCTCTGCTAACAAGTCTTTTTCATCATTCTTAGCTCGGTTTTAGTTATCGCAGATTTATCGGCTAAGTTTGTTGTGGCTTTGCATAGATATTTTGCAAAAAGTGCTATGGCCTATTTCGCGATAAACACCCAAACTAAGCCTCTGTAGGATTAGCTCAAGTGGTAGAGCACGTGTTTTGCATGTGAGAAGTAGTGGAATCGATACCCACATTTTCCAAAGCACATATAGGCAACGAGTGGATTTTTTATTAGCATGTAAAAATAGAGGCAACATATCAACTTATCGAATGTTTATAAAAAAATCAATATATTCACAATGTCAATCAAAAGATTACAAATGAATTTCTTAACTCTCGATTGATGCAAACAATAAAGAATATTTTTCAATGTATTTTCTGATGCTTCTCAGTTACATAGACGTCGATAATATGCCTTTCCATAAAAGCAGAGTGGCGCAGCGGAAGCGTGCTGGGCCCATAACCCAGAGGTCGATGGATCGAAACCATCCTCTGCTAACAAGTCTTTTTAATCAATCTTAGCTCGGTTTTAGTTATCGCAGATTTATCGGCTAAGTTTGTTGTGGCTTTGCATAGATATTTTGCAAAAAGTGCTATGGCCTATTTCGCGATAAACACCCAAACTAAGCCTCTGTAGGATTAGCTCAAGTGGTAGAGCACGTGTTTTGCATGTGAGAAGTAGTGGAATCGATACCCACATTTCCAAAGCACATATAGGCAACGAGTGGATTTTTTATTAGCATGTAAAAATAGAGGCAACATATCAACTTATCGAATGTTTATAAAAAATCAATATATTCACAAGGTCAATCAAAATATTACAAATGAATTTCTAAAACCCTCGATTGATGCAAACAATAAAGAATATTTTTCAATGTATTTTCTGATGCTTCTCAGTTACATAGACGTCGATAATATGCCTTTCCATAAAAGCAGAGTGGCGCAGCGGAAGCGTGCTGGGCCCATAACCCAGAGGTCGATGGATCGAAACCATCCTCTGCTAACAAGTCTTTTTAATCAATCTTAGCTCGGTTTTAGTTATCGCAGATTTATCGGCTAAGTTTGTTGTGGCTTTGCATAGATATTTTGCAAAAAGTGCTATGGCCTATTTCGCGATAAAACACCCAAAATAAGCCTCTGTAGGATTAGCTCAAGTGGTAAGAGCACGTGTTTGCATGTGAGAAGTAGTGGAATCGATACCCACATTTTCCAAAGCACATATAGGCAACGAGTGGATTTTTTATTAGCATGTAAAAATAGAGGCAACATATCAACTTATCGAATGTTTATAAAAAATCAATATATTCACAATGTCAATCAAAAGATTACAAATGAATTTCTTAACTCTCGATTGATGCAAACAATAAAGAATATTTTTCAATGTATTTTCTGATGCTTCTCAGTTACATAGACGTCGATAATACGCCTTTCCATAAAAGCAGAGTGGCGCAGCGGAAGCGTGCTGGGCCCATAACCCAGAGGTCGATGGATCGAAACCATCCTCTGCTAACAAGTCTTTTTAATCAATCATAGGTCGGTTTTAATTTATCGCAGATTTATCGGCTAAGTTTGTTGTGGCTTTGCTTTGATATTTTTCAAAAAGTTCCATGGCCTATTTCGAGATAAACACCCAAACTAAGCCTCTGTAGGATTAGCTCAAGTGGTAAAGCACGTGTTTTGCATGTGAGAAGTAGTGGGATCGATACCCACATTTTCCAAAGCACATATGGGCAACGAGTGAACTTTTTTTTATTAGCATGTAAAAATAGAGGCAACATATCTACTTATCGAATGTTTAAAACAAAATCAATATATTTACAATGTCAATCAAAATATTACAAATAAATTTGTTCACCCTCGATTTATGCAAACAATAAAGAATATTTTTCAATACATTTTATGATGCTTTTCAGTTGCATAGACGTCGATAATGTCCGTTTCCCAAAAAGCAGAGTGGCGCAGCAGAAGCATGCTGGGCTCATAACCCAGAGGTCGATGGATTGAAACCATCCTCTGCTAGCAATTGTTTTCATCACTCTTAGCTTGGCTTTAGTTATCGCAGATTTAAAGGTTTAGTTTGTTGTGATTTGGCATAGATATTTTTCAAAAAGTGCTATGGCCTATATCCCGATAAATACCCAAAAAAAAACTCTGCAGGAGATTAGCTCAAGTGGTAGAGTGCTTGAATAGTATGCGAGAGATTGTGAAATCGGTACCCACATTCCCCAAAGCACATATGGGCAACGAGTGAATTTTTTCATTAGCATGTAAAAATACAGGCAACATATCTACTTATCGAATGTAAAAAAATCAATATATTCACATTGTCAATCAAAATATTACAAATGAATTTCTTAACCGTCGGTTTATGCAAACAATAAAGAATATTGTCTCAATAGTATTTTCTGATGCTTCTCAGTTACAGTAGACGTCGAGAATATGCCAGTTTACCATAAAAGCAGAGTGGCGCAGCGGAAGCGTGCTGGGCCCATAACCCAGAGGTCGATGGATCGAAACCATCCTCTGCTAACAAGTCTTTTTAATCAATCTTAGCTCGGTTTTAGTTATCGCAGATTTAACGTCTTAGTTTGTTGTGCTTGGCATAGATATTTTACAAAAAGAGCTATGGCCTATGTCCCTATAAACTACCCAAACGATCGCGACTGTAGGATTAGCTCACGTGGTAGAGCGCTTGAATAGTATGCGAGAGTATTGTGAGATCTGATACCCACATTTTCCAAAGCACATATTGGCAACGAGTGGATTTTTTTATTAGCATGTAAAAATAGAGGCAACATATCAACTTATCGAATGTTTATAAAAAATCAATATGTTCACAATGTCAATCAAAAGATTACAAATGAATTTCTTAACTCTCGATTGATGCAAACAATAAAGAATATTTTTCAATGTATTTTCTGATGCTTCTCAGTTACATAGACGTCGATAATATGCCTTTCCATAAAAGCAGAGTGGCGCAGCGGAAGCGTGCTGGGCCCATAACCCAGAGGTCGATGGATCGAAACCATCCTCTGCTAACAAGTCTTTTTAATCAATCTTAGCTCGGTTTTAGTTATCGCAGATTTATCGGCTAAGTTTGTTGTGGCTTTGCATAGATATTTTGCAAAAAGTGCTATGGCCTATTTCGCGAAAAACACCCAAAGTAAGCCTCTGTAGGATTAGCTCAAGTGGTAGTGCACCTGTTTTGCATGTGAGACGTAGTGGAATCGATACCCACATTTTCCAAAGCACATACAGGCAACGAGTGGATTTTTTATTAGCATGTAAAAATAGAGGCAACATATCAACTTATCGAATGTTTATAAAAAATCAATATTGTTCACAATGTCAATCAAAAGATTACAAATGAATTTCTTAACTCTCGATTGATGCAAACAATAAAGAATATTTTTCAATGTATTTTCTGATGCTTCTCAGTTACATAGACGTCGATAATATGCCTTTCCATAAAAGCAGAGTGGCGCAGCGGAAGCGTGCTGGGCCCATAACCCAGAGGTCGATGGATCGAAACCATCCTCTGCTAACAAGTCTTTTTCATCAATCTTAGCTCGGTTTTAGTTATCGCAGATTTATCGGCTAAGTTTGTTGTGGCTTTGCATAGATATTTTGCAAAAAGTGCTATGGCCTATTTCGAGATAAAACACCCAAAATAAGCCTCTGTATGGATTAAGCTCAAGTGGTAAGAGTGCACTTGCTTAGCATGTGAGAGGTAGTGGGATCGATGCCCACATTCTCCAAAGCACATATGGGCAACGAGTGGATTTTTTATTAGCATGTAAATATAGAGGCAACATATCAACTTATCGAATGTTTATAAAAAATCAATATATTCACAATGTCAATCAAAAGATTACAAATGAATTTCTTAACTCTCGATTGATGCAAACAATAAAGAATATTTTTCAATGTATTTTCTGATGCTTCTCAGTTACATAGACGTCGATAATATGCCTTTCCATAAAAGCAGAGTGGCAGAGCGTAAGCGTGCTGGGTCCTTTTCCCAGAGGTCGATGGATCGAAACCATCCTCTGCTAACAAGTCTTTTTCATCAATCTTAGCTCGGTTTTAGTTATCGCAGATTTATCGGCTAAGTTTGTTGTGGCTTTGCATAGATATTTTGCAAAAAGTGCTATGGCATATGTCACGAAAAAACACCCAAAATAAGCTCTGGCAGGGGATTAGCTCAAGTGGTAGAGCGTGCGCTTAGCATGCGAGAGGTAGTGTGATCGATGCCCACATTCTCCAAAGAACATATGGGCAACTTGTGCATCTTTTATTAGCATCTAAAAATCGATGCAACATATGAACGTATCGAATGTTTAAAAACGTTATCAATATATTCACAAGGTCAATCAAAATATTACAAATGAATTTCTTAACTCTCGATTGATGCAAACAATAATTTTTTTCAATGTCTTTTCTGCTGCCTATCAGGTCCATGGACGTCAATTATATCCATTTACATAAAAGCAGAGTGGCAGAGCGTAAGCGTGCTGGGTCCTTTTCCCAGAGGTCGATGGATCGAAACCATCCTCTGCTAACAAGTCTTTTTAATCAATCTTAGCTCGGTTTTAGTTATCGCAGATTTATCGGCTAAGTTTGTTGTGGCTTTGCATAGATATTTTGCAAAAAGTGCTATGGCATATGTCACGAAAAAAAACACCCAAAATAAGCCTCTGTCATGGATTAAGCTCAAGTGGTAAAGCACGTGCGTGTAGCATGTGAGAAGTAGTGGATCGATACCCACATTCTCCTAAAGCACATATAGGCAACGAGTGGATTTTTTATTAGCATGTAAAAATAGAGGCAACATATCAACTTATCGAATGTTTATAAAAAATCAATATGTTCACAATGTCAATCAAAAGATTACAAATGAATTTCTTAACTCTCGATTGATGCAAACAATAAAGAATATTTTTCAATGTATTTTCTGATGCTTCTCAGTTACATAGACGTCGATAATATGCCTTTCCATAAAAGCAGAGTGGCGCAGCGGAAGCGTGCTGGGCCCATAACCCAGAGGTCGATGGATCGAAACCATCCTCTGCTAACAAGTCTTTTTCATCAATCTTAGCTCGGTTTTAGTTATCGCAGATTTATCGGCTAAGTTTGTTGTGGCTTTGCATAGATATTTTGCAAAAAGTGCTATGGCATATGTCACGAAAAAAACACCCAAAATAACTTGGCATGGGATTAGATCAAGTGGTAAAGCGTGCGTGTAGCATGTGCGCGGTAGTGGGATCGATGCCCACATTCTCCTAAACACATATGGGCAACTTGTGCATTTTTTATTAGCACCTAAAAATAGAGGCAACATATCAACTTATCGAATGTTTATAAAAAATCAATATATTCACAATGTCAATCAAAAGATTACAAATGAATTTCTTAACTCTCGATTGATGCAAACAATAAAGAATATTTTTCAATGTATTTTCTGATGCTTCTCAGTTACATAGACGTCGATAATACGCCTTTCCATAAAAGCAGAGTGGCGCAGCGGAAGCGTGCTGGGCCCATAACCCAGAGGTCGATGGATCGAAACCATCCTCTGCTAACAAGTCTTTTTCATCAATCTTAGCTCGGTTTTAGTTATCGCAGATTTATCGGCTAAGTTTGTTGTGGCTTTGCATAGATATTTTGCAAAAAGTGCTATGGCCTATTTCGCGATAAACACCCAAACTAAGCCTCTGTAGGATTAGCTCAAGTGGTAGAGCACGTGTTTTGCATGTGAGAAGTAGTGGAATCGATACCCACATTTTCCAAAGCACATATAGGCAACGAGTGGATTTTTTATTAGCATGTAAAAATAGAGGCAACATATCAACTTATCGAATGTTTATAAAAAATCAATATGTTCACAATGTCAATCAAAAGATTACAAATGAATTTCTTAACTCTCGATTGATGCAAACAATAAAGAATATTTTTCAATGTATTTTCTGATGCTTCTCAGTTACATAGACGTCGATAATATGCCTTGCCATAAAAGCAGAGTGGCGCAGCGGAAGCGTGCTGGGCCCATAACCCAGAGGTCGATGGATCGAAACCATCCTCTGCTAACAAGTCTTTTTCATCAATCTTAGCTCGGTTTTAGTTATCGCAGATTTATCGGCTAAGTTTGTTGTGGCTTTGCATAGATATTTTGCAAAAAGTGCTATGGCCTATTTCGCGATAAACACCCAAACTAAGCCTCTGTAGGATTAGCTCAAGTGGTAGAGCACGTGTTTTGCATGTGAGAAGTAGTGGAATCGATACCCACATTTTCCAAAGCACATATAGGCAACGAGTGGATTTTTTATTAGCATGTAAAAATAGAGGCAACATATCAACTTATCGAATGTTTATAAAAAAATCAATATATTCACAATGTCAATCAAAATTTTACAAATGAATTTCTTAACCCGATATTGATGCAAACAATGATTTTTTTTCAATATCTTTTCTGATGCTTCTCAGTTACATAGACGTCGATAATATGCCTTTCCATAAAAGCAGAGTGGCGCAGCGGAAGCGTGCTGGGCCCATAACCCAGAGGTCGATGGATCGAAACCATCCTCTGCTAACAAGTCTTTTTAATCAATCTTAGCTCGGTTTTAGTTATCGCAGATTTATCGGCTAAGTTTGTTGTGGCGTTGCATAGATATTTTGCAAAAAGTGCTATGGCCTATGTCGAGATAAAACACCCAAAATAAGCCTCTGTAGGATTAGCTCAAGTGGTAAGCACGTGCTTTGCATGTGAGAAGTAGTGGAATCGATACCCACATTTTCCAAAGCACATATAGGCAACGAGTGGATTTTTTATTAGCATGTAAAAATAGAGGCAACATATCAACTTATCGAATGTTTATAAAAAATCAATATATTCACAATGTCAATCAAAAGATTACAAATGAATTTCTTAACTCTCGATTGATGCAAACAATAAAGAATATTTTTCAATGTATTTTCTGATGCTTCTCAGTTACATAGACGTCGATAATATGCCTTTCCATAAAAGCAGAGTGGCGCAGCGGAAGCGTGCTGGGCCCATAACCCAGAGGTCGATGGATCGAAACCATCCTCTGCTAACAAGTCTTTTTCATCAATCTTAGCTCGGTTTTAGTTATCGCAGATTTATCGGCTAAGTTTGTTGTGGCTTTGCATAGATATTTTGCAAAAAGTGCTATGGCATATGTCACGAAAAAAACACCCAAAATAAGCTTGGCATGGGATTAAATCAAGTGGTAAAGCGTGCGTGTAGCATGCGCGGTAGTGGAATCGATACCCACATTTTCCAAAGCACATATAGGCAACGAGTGGATTTTTTATTAGCATGTAAAAATAGAGGCAACATATCAACTTATCGAATGTTTATAAAAAATCAATATGTTCACAATGTCAATCAAAAGATTACAAATGAATTTCTTAACTCTCGATTGATGCAAACAATAAAGAATATTTTTCAATGTATTTTCTGATGCTTCTCAGTTACATAGACGTCGATAATATGCCTTGCCATAAAAGCAGAGTGGCGCAGCGGAAGCGTGCTGGGCCCATAACCCAGAGGTCGATGGATCGAAACCATCCTCTGCTAACAAGTCTTTTTAATCAATCTTAGCTGGGTTTAAGTTATCGCAGATTTATCGCCTAAGTTTGTTGTGGCTTTGCATAGATATTTTGCAAAAAGTGCTATGGCCTATTTCGCGATAAACACCCAAACTAAGCCTCTGTAGGATTAGCTCAAGTGGGGACAGCACGTGTTTTGCATGTGAGAAGTAGTGGAATCGATACCCACATTTTCCAAAGCACATATAGGCAACGAGTGGATTTTTTATTAGCATGTAAAAATAGAGGCAACATATCAACTTATCGAATGTTTATAAAAAATCAATATATTCACAATGTCAATCAAAAGATTACAAATGAATTTCTTAACTCTCGATTGATGCAAACAATAAAGAATATTTTTCAATGTATTTTCTGATGCTTCTCAGTTACATAGACGTCGATAATATGCCTTTCCATAAAAGCAGAGTGGCGCAGCGGATTCGTGCTGGGCCCATAACCCAGAGGTCGATGGATCGAAACCATCCTCTGCTAACAAGTCTTTTTAATCAATCTTAGCTCGGTTTAGTTATCGCAGATTTATCGGCTAAGTTTGTTGTGGCTTTGCATAGATATTTTGCAAAAAGTGCTATGGCCTATTTCGCGATAAACACCCAAACTAAGCCTCTGTAGGATTAGCTCAAGTGGTAAAGCACGTGTTTTGCATGTGAGAAGTAGTGGAATCGATACCCACATTTTCCAAAGCACATATAGGCAACGAGTGGATTTTTTATTAGCATGTAAAAATAGAGGCAACATATGAACGTATCGAATGTTTAAAAATCAATATATTCACAAGGTCAATCAAAATATTACAAATGAATTTATTAACCCGCTATTGATGCAAACAATAAAGAATATTTTTCAATGTATTTTCTGATGCTTCTCAGTTACATAGACGTCGATAATATGCCTTTCCATAAAAGCAGAGTGGCGCAGCGGAAGCGTGCTGGGCCCATAACCCAGAGGTCGATGGATCGAAACCATCCTCTGCTAACAAGTCTTTTTCATCAATCTTAGCTCGGTTTTAGTTATCGCAGATTTATCGGCTAAGTTTGTTGTGGCTTTGCATAGATATTTTGCAAAAAGTGCTATGGCCTATTTCGCGATAAACACCCAAACTAAGCCTCTGTAGGATTAGCTCAAGTGGGGAGAGCACGTGTTTTGCATGTGAGAAGTAGTGGAATCGATACCCACATTTTCCAAAGCACATATAGGCAACGAGTGGATTTTTTATTAGCATGTAAAAATAGAGGCAACATATCAACTTATCGAATGTTTATAAAAAATCAATATGTTCACAATGTCAATCAAAAGATTACAAATGAATTTCTTAACTCTCGATTGATGCAAACAATAAAGAATATTTTTCAATGTATTTTCTGATGCTTCTCAGTTACATAGACGTCGATAATATGCCTTTCCATAAAAGCAGAGTGGCGCAGCGGAAGCGTGCTGGGCCCATAACCCAGAGGTCGATGGATCGAAACCATCCTCTGCTAACAAGTCTTTTTAATCAATCTTAGCTCGGTTTTAGTTATCGCAGATTTATCGGCTAAGTT